GCTCCATTTTATACCTTCAGTACCGCCACCGGTCGAGAGCAGTATATGAAGATTTACAGGGATGTCGTAACGGCACTATCAAAAACCGTCGTAACGACACTGAATTTTGGAAGGTGTTGGACAAACAACATCCCACAGTTTTAGAGGTGATCGATAGGACGGGCTTTTGGGCCGTTGTTTCGAATGGGCAGAGTCCAGACCGACAACAGTCTAATTACCTGTCTGGTGGAAAGGTGGCGACCGGAGACGCACACCTTTCATTTTGATTTCGGGGAGGCCACAATCACGCTCCAGGACGTACAAGTCCTGTTTGGTCTCGCGGTAGATGGAAAACCTTGCTGGGGATATACTACAGATTTTACAAACCGGCAATGGCGAGATGAGTGTGTGGAGCTTCTAGGGTTTGACCCCCAGGTAAATTTTTTAACACAATTTATTTTTATTTCTTTTTTGTTTGTTTATGTATAATCCATTGTTTGGTTTTTAATGTATATAAACCACTCTCAGGAAGCAGACGACCCGACAGCCAACCCCAAAACTTGGGGCATTGTAGGCCAATATCTGAAGCACTCGAGGTTAGAAAACGAATGCAACAGAGTGCTGCAAGATGGACAAGACATCACGACCTACGAAGAGAGGGCGAGGGCCCTTATCCTCTGGTGGATCCTTCTTCTTTCCCGACCAGAGGGCCTGTGGAGTCAACCTGTACTGGACCCAGCTCTTGCGCAACATCGATAAGATCAAGGAGTACAGCTGGGGGTCGGCGCTCCTGGCCGCAGTGTATAGAGCGCTGTGCACAAGCTACCAGACTGGGGAAGGCAGGATCAAGAGTTGTGTCCAATTGATTCAGGTACATTTAATTATTTGTTATTTCAAAATTCATTTTCTTTTTTCTAATTTAGACTAATATTTAATAACAAATGAATATATCGATATCTTTAGGTTTGGGCTTCGCTCGGCTTCGCCCGAGAATGAGGAATACGAACTTTGAAAGAGTCATTGGTTGTCCTTTTGGTGGAAGGTAATGACATTTATTTATATATTTTATAGTTTGATTTTTTCAATTATCAAATTTTGTAATTACAAACTTTTTTTTTCTTTGATTTTTAAGGTGGGTGGGACGGAAGGACACGAGACACATAGTCACTGGAACAGCCGTTGTCCGGGATCAACTGACAGGGCTAAGAGAGACGGATGTAAGATTATTATTAGGTATTATTGATTGTTATTTATATTTTGTTTTATGTGTTTTATCTTTTAATAACTTAATTATTATTATTATTATTATTATTATTATTATTATTATTATTATTATTATTATTATTATTATTATTATTTATTAAATTTTAAGATATTTGGTTATACCACTAAAGTCAATTAAAATTATTCTGATAATTAAAATTTTTAAGATGTTTGGTCAACATTCCTTGAAAACCAAATTATCTTGATTTTCACCAATTAAAATTATTATGATCTGATTAGTCTCCAAATTATGTGATTAATGTAAAAAATGATTAATGCTGATCAATAACGGTTTTTGTTTTTTACAGTTCGATTGGATGTCGTATGCACAACTCCTGAATGCTAATGCTCTCCCGGCCCAGAACATTCAAGCCTCTGGATGTATAGGGGCTGGATGTTCTGTTGGAACATCTGTGAAACCCAAGAGCGGGGTAGAGTCCTCCGTCAGTTCGGGTGTCATCAGTCCATCCCCGACACTCTGATCATTACGGGTGAGGTCGACTGGGAGACACACCACCGAGGTCAGGGAATGACCGGGAGGGCAGTATATGATTGGGTCGACTTTCATTCCCAACTTGGGAATGTTTGGGTCGAACAAAGACACCAAAATGTCCTCCCAGATGAGCGTGTGGAGTCATTCGTACAGCTTGGCGAGGGTTACCTTGATTGGTTTCACAGTAGGACTGTGAGACTAATCAGTGACCCTGCCAAGTACCCGGTGGTGCAACAGGACGGAGGCTATCAGCCACTTGCGAGCATTGGAAGTGCGATGTAAGTGTTTATAATTTGTGTGTTTTTTTTCCTATTATTATTATTTTATTTTTTGCGTTTCATACAAATTACTTTGAATTTAATTTTCAGGCTAGCAGCATGGGGGGGGCTTATAACGTGTTATCCAATGTTGAGCATCTATATCATACAGCCCATCCGGAGATGCAGGCGGCAATCCAACATGCCAAGAACCTTCTCTTCACTTCTCTGACTGTCGGAGGCGGAGAGATCGGTCAAGGACATCGTCGAGCCAAGTTTATCACAGGAGAGCTACGTCCAACCCCAGAGGACGCAGTCACACCGGGCGAGGCATCAACCTCCTGCCCATATTCGTGGAGGTAGAAGACGACTTCACTACAAACCTGTTGCCGACACCGGGCTTGAGGAGAACAAGAAGAAGGTAAACATTTTTAACTTAACAAAAATATGATTTTATTTATATTTTATGATTTTTGTTAAGTCGAATTTTTGATTTTTTAAAAAAATGAATTACTCAGAAGAAGAAGAACCTACAACGCCCACAACATCGTCTTCTTCACGACCACCACGGCATCGGGTTAGCTCCCAACCGCACAACCCTACGAATCGATACACTCCTAGTTAGTTGTGTTGTATTACAACGCCCACAGCTTCTTCACGACCACCACGGCTAGCTCCCGACCGCGCAACTCTACGAATCGATACACTCCTAGTTAGCCTACAACGCCCACAACATCGTCTTCTTCACGACCACCACGGCGTCGGGTTAGCTCCCGACCGCGCAACTCTACGAATCAATACACTCCTAGTTAGTTGTGTTGTATTACAACGCTCACAGCATCGTCTTCTTCACGACCGCCACGGCGTCGGGTTAGCTCCCGACCGCGCAACCCTACGAATCAATACACTCCTAGTTAGTTGTGTTGTATTCTGGGAATTTTGTGGACATATATATTTATTTTTTTCTTTCGTGGTGGATTATGTGTAATGATATTTCGAATTGTTTGGATTTTTATATTTGAATAATGAATTATTGTGTTTCATTTTTCTTATTTTGACGAATTGATTGATATGAGTTTGTGGAATCGATCTCGATTAACAGGTGTGTTTTTGTAATTTTTTTCTGTATAGTGTTGTTTCTGCACAGTAAAACGTATTTTCAAAATACGTTTTTTTTTTCTTAAGAAAACGTATCCTTGAAATACGTTTTACTCTGCAAAATCGATTTAGGGCTAAAATTAGGGCAAAATCAAATTGGGGCAAAAATTAGGGTTTAAAAACGTATTTTCAGAATACGTTTTTTTTTTCTTAAGANTCATAACGGTTCTAGCCGCCAACCTCATTCCTCCAATCCGAGCCGCGATGCTATGCTACATCACTATTATTGAATAGATAATTGATATAAAATAATTCATGTAAACAGGCACAAATATGTGCCAATTAAAATAAAAAATAAAAATTGAATACCTAAGAAAAAAATACAAATTTGAATTAATTTCAAACCGCATGCATTTAATTAAATTAGGCCCACATAGTTTTTACTTATTTTTTTTAATTGAAAAAAATAAATTTAATAGTTTATTTCTTTGCAAAATAAGTCATATGGTAATGAGAATGACATGCAAGATGATCACTTTTTTGTAAAGTTACAAATAGACACAATACTGGAGAATGTTCATGTCAATAACAAATTGCTTATTTTTTACATGTAATTTAGGCAAAATGTAATTTAGTATCATTTTTTTCTTAATATTTTCATTAACGAAACATTTTAGGAAAATTGATTGTAGTACTTATTTTTCTAACTTGAATTGTTTCCTTCTTTTTCTTTTTGTTCTTTTGAGAGAGAGAGAGAGAGATAGAGAAACTGATGATTAGAAATCTTCTGCAGGTTGCATGGGTTACAAAGTCAGGGAGAATCCGAGTTGGAGATGGCCATTGCAATTAGATGGGAATTTAGCACTCCGACTCCATTTATAAGGTGCTTATATAGTGATTGGTTTTTTTATTTTTTTTCCCTTTCAAATTAGTGTGGCTTGTCCATTGCAAATGGAGCTGGAAGAGTCATTGTTGACAATTCTCCTGGCATAGTGCTAATAATGGACTAGATCAAAATGATTCAATTAAATTCTAGTGCTTCTTCTATTAGTGAAGTTTCTAGAAAAAAAAAATATATATATCAAACGGCGCAATACACCTTGAGTCACTACGGAAACAACCTCCTTGTATAATTACAAGGGTAAGGTCTGCGTACAACTGACCCCCCAGACCCCAACCGGTTGGGAATATACTGGGTATGTTGTTGTTGTTGTTGTTGTTTCAAATTAGTGTGGCATTGTATTATTTGTATCTGTGGGAATTGTTGTTAAGTTATAACTTGGTTTAGCAGGTGAAAGTTATGACAAAATCCGAGTTCTATAATGTTAGGCTTATGGATTTTGTACCTGCTATGTCCTAAGCTGTATGATATCTTAGTTGCTAATATTTGTGAAGCAATTAAGGACAGCTCTTATCTTGGATGGGCAAAAATAAATAGTATTTCTCAAGAAGATTTTCCTTCTATTTATTGGTGACAGTTTATGATTTTGTACGAGTCGCGAGTTTCTTTGGCAGGAAGGACATGCAGCTTTTGCAACCAAGGAGGAAGGAAATGCTACAATTCCGTTACGGAATAATTTTGTTTGGATTTGTAACCGTTAGATCATCATGTAATCGTCGTGGATAGTTGATCTAACGGTTACCAATCCCGACGGGACTGAGCTGTAGAATCTCCTATTATTATAGTAGTAATTAGATTAGGTAAACACGGTCCCATCTAATCTAAGCACACACTATCAATTTAGAGGCTTAATTAATAATTCGCAGCTTCAAAATATCTATCATAAAGTGAGTTTTTATTGTCCATCAAACTTTAACATTATTTTTCTTTCACAACTCTTCTTTCACAACCAGCTTAAACATTTAACATTATTCTTTAGCGGCCAGTTGGTATGTGTATTGTCGCAACATTAAACAAGCAGGAGCAGAAAACAGATGAAAGCCACGTAAAACCCAAACAACCCACCCACAATACTATTATTATTAATCCCCGAAACCGTGTATTCCACGCGCTGAATAGCACCACCACCACCACCACCACGTGCCTGCAATCCAATATTGTAGGCAGGTGTCATATTTGGATAGAATAGACCAAAATACCTCTCGGTCTCCGGGCCAGGCTTCAGGTCCTCGTCAAAGAGCGCAAATATGTAAGCGTTGAGTGGGTTAGACGGCCTCAGGGGAGTCCCCTGTTTCTCCTCCACCCGTTTCAGCAGATTCCCGTTGAAAATCCTCGCGTTCTCCACCTGGTCTGTTCCATTTTCTTTGACCAAACTCGCCTGCTCTATTCCACTTAGTGGTGGTGGTGGCCGCTTCTTTGGATTTCTCCAACGTGACCATCCGATCTCGCTCACTCTCAAAGATGGGTTATATGAGTCCAAAGCATTATTATGGGCCGAGTCCATCTGTAAGTACAAAGCATCGATGGCCGAGTAAACAGCGTCCATCTGTGCGTACAACATGTTGTCATAATGCAAGTTGGTGATTGGATCTGTTTGTCCCGGGTTTGGCTCGAAAAGCACGTACGCCAACGACACGTGCTCTGGGTCGTCCTGGTACGCAAAGTAAGGGTTCGCGTTGATAAGAAACGGGGACTCCGTTTGAGAGAGGAAGTCCAATATGCCCAAGAGGTACTCCACGAGCTCGGGCTTGAACGTGCCCAAAGAGGGCGGAAATGAAACGTCCATGATACCGTACGAGTGCGGCGTGTTCACCTGGATTTGCTGGCTCAGGCCAAGGTCCGCGAGGGCTTTTTGGACATTTTTCATGGCGGGCAGAAGGGAGATAATCATCTTGGTGTCGTTACTAGTGAGGACCTCGTTGCCGATTGTTATGGTGGTGATATTGGTTTGGTTGGTGTAGGGGGTCACATTGTGTTGGACCCAATCTTGGGCTTGGGCTGGGTCGGTGAAGTTCTCGATGTACTTGTCTTCGAGCCCGATTGTTAGTTCGACGCCTGTGTTGGCGAATGCGGAGAGGACTTCGGGGTCGGCATCGTAGACTCTGACATGGGTTATGTTGAGGGAGAGGATGAAGGAAGCCACACGTGATGGAGTGGGGAGGTTGTCGGCCACGCGCCCGTAGTTAATTCCTATCCGGAAGCTGTGGGTGCCGGTCATCAATGAACCTGGATGGAATGGAGAATTAGTATATTAATTTATATAATTATTATTTTTTATTTTATAATTACTTTACATGTTATATATAAATATTAAAAAAAAATTGATATATTCTGAACAATTAAAATAGAAAATATATATATAAAAAAAAAAAAAA